ACTCTCCTCTGTTGTGGGGTTCTCCGATGTCTCGGATGTCACGTTAGCTATTGCTGGGAGATCTGGATAACGGATAAACAAGCAGTTATGATATTGCACTGCTCAAAATTCATAATAAATTGTTCTGTATCCTTATCGTTATCTCGGCTTACACTGACTTCTATATTAAGGCCACTTGTGTTGCTGATTATGGTATTAGAAATGATCGTCAATACTGTTTAAGTATGCCAAGTTAGGCGAACGAATATTTTTTGATTCACTTATCATCAAACATGTACAACAATATTAAGGGAAAGTAGATTTAGCAGAATCTTAAGCAACCAATCAGCGGTAATTTAGGGGCAAAGTAGGAAATTTAGAGACCAGGAGGGGCTGGGAGCAGGAGGGACGTGTGCTGCAATTAGGTCATGTCCCCCGGTTGGCGACGCCGCCCTCACGGTCGGACGCCCTGCAAGATCTATTGGCAAATTTCCCCCTAACTCTTCTGTAAACAATATACTCCTCTGACGACAGCGAGAATAACTGTCCTGCAATAATTGAAGCCCGCATCCGACGCTGACAAGCAAACTGTGGCAATTAATGAGCCATCACCGCACTGATTAAGACCTTAAGCGGTGGCTACAGGAACTGACAATTATAGTACGCATGCGGATGACCACTACGAACTATAAATATCATGTGCATGTATCGCCCTTATCTGCGCATGTCTCCGACTTTCCTACAATTACCTATGATTAAGGATTCCCAAGGGATCCAAAACGGCTGGCAAATAAAACCCCTGTTCCAGTGTTCGCATCTTCTTCTATACTGCTCCGTCTACTCTGCCTTCCCAAGACTTCTCTTATCTCCTAAGGAACCGGCCGGGAAGATAGTATGTGTTAGGGTTGACCTTCGTAGCCTTAACACCTATATAGGTGCATGACCTTTGTCATTTCCGACTGAACACGTTTGGAATTCTCCACATCTCTTCTCCTATGAGACTCCCGTTCAACCTACATAATGATTGTTTACACTCTTCCGAAGGCTGCGCCCCCACCTGCTCCCTAGATCGCTGGCCGCCCATGACTGACTCAAATGCACATGACTGAATACTGCCCTGCC